CTCCTCTGATCCTTTGTTTCCTCATCTTCAAAATGGGTATACCATTGTCTACAAAGATGACTGTGAGGATGAAATGAGATGATGTGGGTAAACCTCAGTTCTGGAGCCTGGCAGTTCACTAAGCCCTCAAAACCGAGCTTACTCTGATACCAGAGTCTCTTTCCTTCACTTGGGTTTCTAGTCAGAAAAGCTGAGGCTCAAACAGGCTGCCTCCTGCCCCAAACATCAATCAGTGCAGGAACTAAAAGCAAGGGCTCCTGGTCTTGGTTTGCACCTCAAGCCGGGACACAACGCACCTGGCGAACAAGTCCCCGCGTGCTCTCAGGCTGCACTTTGAGGTGCGAAACAGCTCGCGTGCATGCGCACTGGGACAGGCGCTCCTCGCCAACTGAGTTCTCGCGCCAGGTGGCCTGAGGCGGGCCTTCCCGCGAGGGTCCCACCACACGCAGACGCAGGAGGGGTCTCGCGCTTGGCCCCTGGGCCCCCGCCCCCACCGGCGGGTTCCCACACCTCAGGTCTCCCCAGCGCCGCGGGCCGCCTCACCTCCTCCGTTCTTGTAGCACAGGTAAGGGAAGCGCCACACGTTGCCCAGCCCTATGATCTCCCCAGCCACGCTCAGCACGAACTCCACCTTGTTGTTCCAGTGGCCGCGCTCGTGGACTGTCTTCTCGCGCTTGTCGCGCGCGGCCGCCGCGCCCCCGCTGCCGCCGCCGCCCGGCGCCTCGGACTCTCGCGCCTCCTCGGCAGCCTTCCCATTGCCCAGAGGCAGCGCCTTCTCCGCCGTCATGGCCGCGCTGGCTGCCTCGTGCGCCGGGCCCGGCTCTGCGCCGCCGCCCCAGGCGGGCTGGCTTTTTAGGAGGCGCGAGCGGGCGGGAGGGGGAGGCAGGGGGTGGAGCTGAGGGGCCGGGCCGGGCCAGCGCGGGGACGGGGACGGAGACGCGGCGCGGCGGCCCGGCCGGGCTCGGCCCGGGAGCCTTCGAGCACCTGGCGCGCGCCGAACAACTCGCGCGCGCCGAGCGCCTTGCGCACCCGCCCTTCGCGTCGCCCTACCCAGTGGCCTCAGGACAAGAGTGGAAGCGCCGGTTCAGGCCTCGGCTGGGCTCCTGACACCAAGCCAAGTTCCACCACTCTCTGTAACCTCCAAACGCCTGGGCCTCGGTCTCCCATCTCTAAGAGAAGCGGGTTCCAGACCAGGGTTCTCCAACTTCAGCATGCACACCAGTGCACCTGCGGGTCTTTTTAAACTGCTCCTCCCGATTTACTGGGTGAGGCTGGACGGGGCTTCTGTGTTTCTAACCATCATCTGAGTGCTATGGGTGCTGCTGGGACCAAGACCACACTTGGAAAAAGGGAATGAGTTAATTCTTGGTCTCTTCTCAGTTCTCAGGCTAGCAGCACCCCCAGGGTGGAAGCACCTTTAGCTCTTGTTCTCCCTGGTGCCTGCTACTGTAAACACGGTCAATCAGGACAGTGTGGCAGCTAAGCGCTCTTGTCCAGAGATGGGCAAATCTAATTTGAATCTCAGGGTCCACCTGTCTTAGCTGTGTGAAGTCATCTGACCTCTCTGTTCCTCAGTTTCCTCATCTGAAAAAAGGGAAGAATACGAGTAGAGTTTTTCTTACGGGTTTTGTGCGGTGTGCATGTGTGTGTGGAGTTAGTGAGAAAATCTTATAAAGGAGTACATTTGAAGTACTCAATGAACATTAGCAATTGTTAGTATTCTCATACAATGTGTAGTCACATACATATGCATATTTGTTACCTTCTTGTTTAANCTCTACTCTCCTTCTATCCCTTGGAGCTCCCTCTGGGGCTCTCTCAGAGAGCCTCCCTGTCTTGTTGCTTTCAGCCTCTTCTTTCATTCTGGCTTACTACTGCTCTGTGGTTCCCCACCTCCATCCCCCCAGAAAACCCTGCCACCATCTTCCCCTTTCAGGCCTCCTTCCTCCCTTCCCCCTCACTATCATATTTCTTGAAAGAGTAAGTTTACATGCTGCCGGCCCTGTCTTCACCTCCCACTCATTCCTCAGCCCACAGCAATCTGGCACCCACCCGCACCACTCCTCCGAAAATGCTGTCTGTGGAGTCCTGGAAGCCTTCTTAATTTGGCAGATCCTACAGTTTATTGTCCATCCCCATTCTGCCTGACCTCTAGGTAATTTTCTGCACTGTAACCCCCCTTCTTTCCTTCTTAAAATTCATACTTTGTGATTTCCTTGACATTGCCTGCCTCAGTTACTGTTTCTCTTCCTGCTTCTCTGCTCTTTTCTCTTCTCTTAAATTTGATCTTTCTTATGCCCTTAGCCAACTAAATGCTGCTGGCTCCTAAACCTCCATCCCCATGTACCGTCTAGGGTATGTTTGAAATCAAAGATCCTGCAGAGTGATTAAGGTGAGAGTATTCAAGTAGATGTAGGTTGAGATCCAGGCTGTGCCTCTTATGAGCTGTGTTTTCTCTCACTTCAGGTTCCTCTTCTACCAAATGGGGTTAATGTGAGTTCTGACTTCACTGGGTGAGCATGAAGGCTAACAGCTTTGAGCAGAGTAGGTACTCTATAAACAGTAGCTATGATTATTATTGTGATGATGATGGTGGTGGTGGTGATGATATCATTTCCTTGCTTGAAAATCTTCATTGGCTCTCCTCTTCCCACAGGACAAAATCAAACTGCTGATCTTGGCATTCAAAATTACCCTCCAATCTGATTGCTCCAGCCTTTCCTTCTAAATTAATGCCATTTTTCTCCCATACTAAAACTCCACATCAATTCTTTCATTTTCTTTGGGGTGATCTTCAGTGCTGCACAGAGAATGGGCAATAAAGGAAGGAATTCATCTTTGACCTTGACAGTCCCTGCACACAGTAGGAACATAGTACCTAGGAGTCCATTTATTAAATGAACAACTGCGTCAAAAGATACATTCCCTACTCTTATCATTGCAATATGAGGCAATCTCTGTAAACCTCCTTTAAATCTAATTACATTTCACTTTATACTGCTCCTTAGAATAATTAGCTCTAGGAATTGACTTCCTCTGAGCAGCTATGATTCTACGAGACCCGCTTGGAAAGTAACATTGAGCCAGCATGAGAGGGCAGGGGCCGGCCATCCTGGCAGGAACCTGGGCTCAGTTCTGCTGATGGTAGTTCTGTGCCTTGAGTATATCCCCTAACCTCTGAGCTTTGATGTCCTCCATTTATCAAAACGGGCTTGATTATTCTCTCTCAGGGTGGTCTTAGAGCTGAAATGAGACCACGTGCAGAGAACATTGTACATATTCTAATGTCCCAACTCACCCCTCAAGTTTTAATGTTTCCCTTTATGAAAGTTGACCAGGTCAATTTCCTCCTGTTAGAATTTAGTATATAAATATTTGAAGTCCATTCCATGGTTATATCATGGCTCTGGAAAAGCCTTTATCTTGTTCCTCTGTTCATAGAAGAGCCCATATGTCCCTCCGTCACCTCAGAGCCTCATTTCTGGACCTTTTCGACCTCATTATTTCTTTGCTGAGGGGCAGAGACTTGAAGAGTGCACACCTGTGTCCACGAGGTGGATGTACTTAGGTTGGGACAAGATGGGAAAATGGGTCAAGTCTCATTTCCGGAACTGATCCTGATGGAACACAGCATAGTGGTTAGGAGCGTGGGCTCTGCAGTCATACTTCCTGGATGCAAAGTCCAGCTCCACCACCTTGGCACATTTCTCTGAGCCTCAGTTTCCTTTTTTTAAAAAATGAGGGTACCAATAGTGTTTACTTTTCAATTGTTATGAGGATTAAATGGGTTGGTATTTGTAAAGCACTTGGATTTGTGACTGATTTAGACATGTCTGTTAAATAAATATATAAACAGTCTTCAGAAAACAGGTGTGTCATCCCTCCTTTATTCCTTTCTTAGGGTAGGCATTCCAAGTCTTGCATCTTCTGGAAAAAGCACTTGCTGTCCTGCAGGGTCATTTAAATTCCAGTATTCTTCACTCATTCATTCCCCAAATATTTATGGTTCTTCAGTTATCTTCCAGACACTTTATTGGTCATGAGGGTGCAAAACTAGATATAAAGCCTGCCCCAGGGGTATACTGGAGCCAGCTCATACTAACTCCTGAGAGCCAATGATTAAATTTTCAGGGATTTTGTGAGCCGCAATTGTTGATAGTTTGAAATCTGCTTAGTGGTTGTATTTACACCACAAAAATCCGCAAAGGCTGCCAATCAGCCTCACCCCCACTGAACCAGTATACTGGTCTACCATTACAGAGTAGTGGGGGAGGCAGATGCTAATTAAATAATCACAGAAATGAGTGAAAATTTGGAGATTCTGTTTTGCTGCAAAAAAGAGGTTTATGGTGTTAGGAGAGCTTGAAACTGAGAGATCTGACCTTGTCAAGGAGATCAGGGAGAGCTTCCTGAGCAAGTGACAGATAAGCTGATGCCTGAAGGAACAAAAGCAATGAATTGGATGAGGAGGGGCTGGGGGTCCTGAAAGATCATCTCCAAGGCCAAGGCTGGAGCACAGTGTGGAACGAGATATGCCTGATGGAGAAATGTTTTTAGCAGGGGGTGACAGGAACATATTTGTATTTTAGAGAGATTACTGTGGCTTGTGGGACAGGGTGGGTACAGTGAAGAGCCTACTGCAATGATCCAGGCAAGAGATGGATGATGGCACCTTAGGTAAATGGGAGGTGTCAGTGGAGAGGAAGAGAGGATGGTGGAGTCAAGTGATAATGGCCAGCTGGGATAAGTCCCAAAGGACTTGACCTGGGGCTGAATATGGAGGGTAAGGGAAGAGAAGGTATCAGGTATTCTGCTGAGCTAGTGAACTCTAGTGTCCCACCGTGGGGATGATGGTCCTGCTCCGCTTTGTGCTCTCACTCTCGCCCACTCGGAGTGTTAAGCCAGACCCACTGGACCAGTGTACTGCCCTCAGTCGTTTGAATGGCTGCTAGACTAGAAACCTACATGGCAGAACCAGGATCAAAGAGAGGAAGCGAAAAATACGTTAGATACAAGAAAGAACCTCCTACAAATCATCCAATTGGAATAATCTATCCCAGGAGGTGGTGAGCTGGTCAGCACCAGAGATGTATTGGTGGAAGCTGGACTCTCGCACAGCAGGGGTACCACAAGGGGACTTAGGGATGGGACTTGCTGATCATGAGAGTCTCTGAGAGGAGTTTTGTGCAAAAACCTTGCCTCATTACTATCATCATACTTTTTCTAATAGGTTCACATTAATTATCCCAAGTCTTCATCCTTTCCTGTATCCACACCATTCACCATGTAACTCTGCAAGATCCTCCCAGCACTGGAGTTCAGTCATCTGACTTGCTTTGGCCGCTAGAATGAGAAAGAAGTGTTGATGTGCCAGTTCTAAGCCTCGAGATGGTAAGGGTCTCTGCTCGACTTCTGCTTGCCTTCTGCTTCTGCCGTCACCATGTGAAAGCTGCTCTGGTTCAGTCTGCTGGTCCAGGAGGAAGACAAGATACACACAGAGCAGAAGCACCCAAGCTTAGGTGCTCTCCAGTCAAACCCAGACTAAAGCAAAGGCCCAAAGAACCCAGAGGTATGAGCGAACCCAGGCCAAATCTGCCCACCTTCCTCCTGACTTAGGAGCTACAAATAATCAGTGTTGTTTTTAGCCACCAAGTATCAGTGAGGCTTATACACTTTGGCTCATGTCCTTCTCCTTTTCAAATGCTCCCTTAACACTTATCAGACATAACTTATTCTTAAGCCCCATTTCATGTTCATATTATTTTATGAATTCTAAAATGATTTCTCTGCCCTCTCAGGGATACCTTGATGACCACACCTTCCAAGATGAAGCACCATTTTGCAACCTTACACACCAGACTTGGCCAAGTTGCT